GTATATATCTTGTCCCAAATTAGCTTTCAATTGGACAATTTTAAAAAAGTATAAATACATATGTCCAGTTTCTTAGTAAATTAACTTTAAGTTTATATATTTGTTAGTCTACTTAAAAATATAGTCAAGCTTTGTTAGCAACAGTTTTTTATTTTTATTTTATTTACTTGTAAGAGCATCCTGTTTATTTTAAGTATGCAAGTAAATTCCTTTCCTGTGATATCATTTTATATGGCTTTCTAAGGAAGTGAAATATGAACATCTTGTATATCCTTTTACTTCTTTGGTCACACTTGTATTGACATTTTTGAGTGATTTCTTTGAAATTTCCTCTGCATGCCTTGATTTTTCTTAAATAATTTTTCTTTATAGTTCAGTATTAAAAGTACTTATTTTTGTTTTCTTTTGTGAATTCAACATTTAATGTAGCAGTGAAGATTATTTTTATTGTAGCATGTATGGCCTTCTTGGCCTCACCCACTTAAAAATTTCTGATAAAATATGTTCTTTTTTTTTCAAAGAGCTCCCTGATTAGGCCAGAACTTTTTAGCATCTTGTATATTGATAATTCTAATGCAATAATTGAACATGTTCTCTCAGTAAAAGGTTACATTTTATTTGCTTAGAGACTATTGAGTTATTAAAAAGGTAATTTTAAATGTTTAAATAAATTAATTTTTTGAAATCACAACTATTAAAATTGTATTTTTTGCTTGATAGAAAAAAAAAAGAATGGTTAGGTTTGAGCGTATTTGTAATTCACACAGAATTTTATAATAATAAAAATAAAATTATTTTCCTTTATGTATAAATACATCAGATTTTGAAAGCATTAATTGTATGAGTTATTTTGCTTTTTACACTATTTTAACAGTAAAAATGTCAGTTAAGTATGATACATGTTTGGACAATCATGTCTTTAGATTTATGACTGACTAGGCAGATTTTTCTGTAGTAGGTTAGTTTCTTTTTTGCTGTAAAATGGTTACAAGACCCAGTTTGTTCTGCTATTCAACCCATAGCTGGGAGAGAAGTGATAGATTCATACCTTTCCTAAGGGTATTTGTACATAAGTGAATGTAATGAACATGAATGGAATTTGAATTCAGCACTCCAATTTCTTATTCTGAATCAATATCCATTTCACCACAATGCACAAGCTAACAGTGCTATAGTATAATTGAGCAAAGTTTTGTTCTAACATGCATTTCATTGTTGAAATAGTATTTTCTGTCTGAATTTCTGGGATAAAGAGTTATTAATATTTACATTACTTACATTGAGAATAATGTCTTCATTTTTGTTATAATCATCAAAGTCTTTTGGCCATTGTGACTTCTGATCTTCTCTAGGTGTCTGTAGATCCAGGTAACCTTCAGCAGCAGTAAAAGAGAAAAATAACAAGCAAAGGAAGTCAGGTATAACAGAAAGGCAAGAGAAGTATTTAAGGATTTGCATTGAGGTAATAGCCTACAGGATTAAAGTATTGATTCATGAATTTAGTGGCATACTAATTGTGAGTTCAATCCTTAGACTGGATAGTACAGACTTGTACTCAGTGGAAACAGAGATAGCAATAACCAAGCAGTACTAAAGAGAACAAGATGAAATACCCCATAATTGGACATTAATATGGTTCAACAGACAACTGAAGAAGTATGGAGGGCATAGTGGCTGAAATTTTGGGATAACAACAAAGATGATATTAGATTGAATGTAAATAATGAATTGGTATTCTTGTTGCATGATTACCAAAGTATGTATTCCAAGTATCTAGTAAATTTGAGGATTTTAAGGAAATTATTTCTATTTGGTTTTAAACTGTAGATTTAAACTTGTCTACTCTGCTGATTTGTATATTTTGATACAATGTTGTCTTTGCATAAAAATGGTATCTGTTTTTTGTTGTGCTATTTTCCTGTACTTATTTCTTTTAGGTTGGTAACTTGAACTCTGTCTAGTGGGAGTTAGTCACACATTCAAAAGTAATTCTATTTTCAGATCAATAAGAAAAATAATTTATTTTTAATCTCTAAAATATTGTAAAGCATTTTTACATATTTTGTTAGAATAACATTAGGAATTTACATATAAAACATTTGCATCTTCTATATGTGTTGATGTAACCTTTCATATCATCACTTCAGTTGTCAGATCATAGTATGCACATTGCCAGAGCTACATAGATTTTTGAATTCATAGTTGTTCTTCACCAAGACTGGTTGCTAACCATAGCTAGAGCCCAGTCTGCCCTGTTATTTAACTTCTAGGTGATGGGAGAAGAGATGAATTCATACCTTTATGAAAGTTATTTGTGCAAAAGTGAATGTAACAAACTCAACTGGAATTTGAACTCAGTTTGCTGATTTCTCATTTCAAGCCACTAACCATTACCCTCCCTGCATATCTTCACCATATGAGGGATTTATTAAATACAGGTTAAATTTTATTCACTCAGATAATTAGTGATGCAAATGACACAGGAAATTTAGTGGTTGAGAAAAATGAAGCAATAAGTACTGTTGTATTTTAGCATCAACTGGAATACATAGGCATTGTTTACGATTTTCTTATTGCTGACTTTAAAAGATATTTACGCACTTATTTTATTTTATTTTTTTTAAATGTCTCCTACTTAAAATTTGTTTCATCAAATTTTGATGCTGAATCTCCCTGTTGTACAGGTTTAGAGAAATCAGAAAAAAGGTATTGTTTGTGGTGAGGAATTAATACAAATTTTATGGTATAGAGCTATAATAGATATTTAAATTTTTTAATGATTTTAAAATAGCAATTTATTGAAAATCAAAAAGAAAGTATTGTCAGTGGACAAGAATTAAGGCAGTAATGCATGCCTTATTGCCTTGTTCACTAACAATAATTTCCTTTTGATTTTTCTCTTATATGTTTAATGTATATACATAATTATCATCTCATTAAACTGAAGGTTATAAGTCTTGCACTTGAATTCTTTGTTGTTTATAAAATTTTTCTATAAAAGTATGACCAACAGATATATGGAGTTCTGTGTCTTTTGAACCATATGTAAGAAAGAATAAAATTTTGCATATCTGATATGCCATTCCTGCAAATAATGTACCTTTTCTTGATTCCGTCAAGTAACATAGAGGCATTGCTTATCTTTTGTATCAAAGGCATTACTTACTGCTACATATATGAAAATAGTACCCAAATGGATGGATAATAGGAATGAATTGAAATGTTACCATCAACTGTAGATGTACCAATTCCATGATAGCAGGCTATAATTTAATTTCAAATAGGTAGATAAAATTTACCTATAGAATAATGTAGCATTGTATTCTCAATATATATTGCATTTATAAAATGAAAGCATCTAGCTGGATCTCCTAATATTGATGACTATTGCTAAAGAGCATGAAGAGTACTTCAGTTTCAGCAATCTGCTACTCATAATAGAATCTAAAATCTCCAACAGACCAAGATATTACTATTTATATGTTACTGTAATATGTCATGGAATACAAATACATCTCTGAAAAATAAACCTTTAAAGAAACACTTTGTATTAAGCAGTTAACAGGACAGGCAATTGAAAATAACCTATTTCATTTTATTCAAAACAGCATTTCCATGACCTTCCCATAAGGATGAAATATAACTGCTGTTGAATTTGTAGATTTAAATATTGCTATTGCTCATGCGAAGATGCTGCTGTGTATGATAGTTTTTCATTTGAATCTCTGTATATCAGACCTTGAGTTGTCTTTAGGTTAATAACATAATTCCCCTTTAAGCATGGAATATAAAAAGTATTAAAGTCAGAAGCAAAGTGTTAAGAAACAAGGAAAATTTCTTTAGAAACAAAGAGAGTACTTAACTGTAATGTAATATCAGTACTCATATTTTTTTCTTTTTTTAACTGAGTTCACTCCAAGGAAGGCAATAAAGCCACCAAGATGCAAGGGGTTACTGGGTGTGGAAGAGTTAGAACATTGCTAAGGAGTGAGAACAGAGGAAGAGTAGATAGCAATTGACACTGCATTTAAATTTTTGCAGATTAAAGTTGGCTGGAAAGCATGGAGCTGGAAGGGAGTTCCACTGGCAAGAGGTGCGAGAAAAGAAACTGTTAGCATAGAATTTATGGTTACATCTAGCCAGCTCAACTGTAAATTGGTGAGGCCTTATCGTCAGTCTAGTACAGTGCTTAAATTTGAAGAGACTAGGCACTATCTCTTCACAGATTCAGAAGAGACTTAAAGCAACAGAAATGTGTTTCTGCAGAAGGACGCTAAGAATACATTTTAGAGAAAATAGAAACAAACTTGAAATTTGTAAGGCACATAATGAGGCAAGAAGGCTTAGAAAATTTGATACTCACAGGACAGATTGAAGGCAAGTAGAGAAGAAAACAATGCATAATCTACCTAGTGAGCTTGAGTAAATGGATAGTGAAACATGGTTTGGGATAGATAATAAAAAGACAAAATTTATTAAGAGCTACAAAGGGCAAGAAATTGTGGAGAGCCACAATTGCCAATGTCCTGAGGGGACATAGCATATAGAAAAAGAAGACACATTTAATCAAAGGAAGTAAATGTTGATAGTTTGATGATTCTCAACTGAAATGACTTCTATCAAAATATTAGGAAACCCAAAACTGTGGTACTATTTTTCCATTTAGTTGGATTACTTACATTTAGGACTAGTTTGTTGACTTAGTCATAATGCATAAAAAAAAAAAAGAGTTAATTTCTTTTCAGCCAATATAAGAAGCATTTGTTCTTAGCATGTGTTTTAAGGATTTATTTTTATTTGAATAATAATTTTTTTGTTTTATTTTAATGGAATAATCAACTGAGTCTGTTTTGTTGTTTCAGGTCATAAGCACTGGTGAAAACAATGAGGATAAAAAGAACACTAACAATGAAATTCAAAAGAGCAATAAGATTTCTATGAGAAAGGGACATATTGCTGAGATGGCAAACAAATTAAAAGAAGGAATACAAGTTGGACCCATGATGTCAAATAAAAAAGGTATGTTTTTTTTTTTTGTCTGTCTTGTTTTTCATGAGGATTGAAAGTTCATTCAAATGATAATTTTAATGCTATCAATTTTTACTTATAAATAGAAGAAAATGGTTTGCAAATCTGTTGCTTTTTTTCTGCAGTAAAAGAAAATGCTTATTTAAAATGATTAGTCACCATATTATAATTCTACTTGTTCTTTTGTTAGTCAGCACATCCATTACATCCTACCAATATCATGTGAATAATGGACTATTCTGTTTTGATTGTGAGGAAAGATGAAAAAGATATGAGATGCTGTTTAGTCTCAGTTAAATAAAAAAAAGGAGGTAGAGGAAACAAAACTTGTGTTTAATGTCTGCTTCATTGAAATGGAAAACCTTGTCAGTTTCAAATCTTTTCATTTGTACCCTCTTAAATAATGATTTGTTAAAGTTAAGCTCAAATATTTAAAGATGAAAACAGGAGAATTTCCATGAGTATTTTACATTTCCAAGAAGCTTATTCAATTGTTAACTTAAAACTTATGATTTATCAGAAAATTCAAATTTTCACTGGTGCTTCTTCTCTGTGTTGTATCCTTTTAGGAAGTGAACAATAATGGCTCTCCACAATTTCTTGTCCTTTATAGCTTTTAATAAAGTTTACCTCTCCTAATCTCTGTTTTGCCAACCAGCTTGTTATGTAGGTTATGTGCTGCTTTCTGCTGTCATTCTTGCATTCAGTATGTCCTGTCAGTGTCAAATTTTCCAGGCCTTCTTTTCTCATTATGTGCCTTGAAATTTCAACTGTTTCTTTTTGATACTAAGTATAAGTGTCCTTTTTATTTCCATTCTCTCTTAAGCTTCATTGTTGCTCACATATTCATTCCATGGTATTCTCAGCATCCTTCTGTAGAACCACATTTCTGTTGCTTCAAGTCTCTTCTTCATCTGTGAGGAGATTGTCCAGCATTCACTGCCATATAAAGAGGACTGATATCACATAACAGTTCAACAGTCTGTTCATTGTTTTTAATGAAATTTTCGTGTTTCTTAATACTTTCTTACTACTCTTAATTATTGCTATATATTGAAAAAATAATGTTAAAGAACACTTGTGGTGACTATTGTCAACCCAAACTATTAAACAAAATTGGTTATAAGAATTATTTTGCTTTATATACAAGCAATGCTCCAAGAGTAATGTGATGAACATTTTATGAGTTGACAACAGAACAGATTCTACTCAGAATGAAGCTTTTGAAATTACATTACCTACAGTCTCACTGTACTGGCATCCTGTATTTGTTTTTTGTAAAGGTTCAGTTTTCCACATGAAGGGATTTAATAATACATTTATGCTCAGATGTCATTTTGTCAGACTGTTACTCTGTTACAAGACAAAAAATAAACAATACAGGTTATTGTTGGGAAGGTTCAATCTCTATTAACATAGAATCAACAGGGTCAATATTATAAAATATAAAGCATTACTTTTGAGGTGACGTTTGCAAAAAGTGTAAAAAAAGCAAGAGTGGTTGGTTGGTGAGCTTACAGGTAATATATCTTTATATATATATATATATATATATATATATATATATTCTCTGGGGTTGTATATTTTTTAGTTATTGTGCAAATATGTTGTTCTTGATTTTTGTTCGGATCAGACAGGACCAGTAAACTGGTTTAACTGTTTTAGTTTTTTTTAATCATTGTTTTATTTCAGTATTACCATTTTATGGTAATATGTATTTTTGTTACACTCTCTTTTGGTTCTGAATTGTTTCTTTTTTGTTATAAATTACTTTTTAATATATCTGCTTTTATTGCTCTAATAAAAATTTTGTTTCAACAATTCTTATTTATCAAAAGCCATATAAAACCTTTTACAAATGTAATTTACATCTATGCTGAACTCTTATAGCATTGTTGCCTAGCTGTGCTGGCCCATTTTTAAAAAAAATAGGAAATTGTCATTTATTAGAAATAATGATTATAAAGATGTTGAGAATTATTTCTGATGGCACTGTCATTTTGATTTTGATCAGACACACTACAATAGCAACTAAGCTAAATGACACCCCCCAACAATCAATAAAAATACATCACAAAACAAAGTTGATATTATATGCTATTATATGTCTATGTTGGTTTGGAAATAGCTCTGAGTGCTAGTTAGCTTATAACATTAGAGTCCAACATTTCCCAGGGTTTAGAATAATGTCTATATTCATTGACAGCAGGCAATGTAATAAGTTTTGTAAAGCCATATAAATATATCCACGGCAGGGGAAGTGTTAATCAGTTTGTCTTGGAATATTCTAAATGAATCGAGTGAAAGTCATAGATATTGCAATATTTTTGTTTTATTCATTTTTAGATTTTATATGCCTTCTTGTTGGAAAGGCTTATGGCCGTATCATGTTGAAACACCAGTTCTCATACAAACATTGAAGTCAAGCAATGTCAAGCTTGGTCAGTACCTAGATGGGTGACTGCTTGGGAAGACCAGGTGCTGTAAGCTTGGATGTGCAGGTGGTATAATGGATAATGGCTTGGAATTGGAAATCAGAGAGCCATTCCAATTCCAGTCAGGTTTGTTATATTCACTTACACATACACTACTCTTTAATTCATAGCTTGGGGAAGAAAAGGTAGATTCATACCTTTCTTAATGGTATTTGTGCATAAGTGAATGTAATGAACCTAACTGGAATTTGAACATAGCTAATTTCTCATTCTGTGATCATGATCCATTACACCACCTGTACATCCACTCACTGTGAAGAAGGCTTGGAATTGCTTTTTCCAAATTATGATTTGAGTGTTAAAAACCACAGACTTTCATTGGAGAAAAGATAATGATATATAATTATTGAAAAGGGTTTTTGTTTTTTTTAAATATATTAATAATTTAAAAAAGATACAAAATTTAATTACTTTATGTATTCTGTCAGCCTGATGATGACAAACGGGGATTTCATTGTCATAACTTTATGCCATTGAGGGATTGGTTGTATTTTGTGAATACTTGAATGTATTGTGACATGTCACTGCTTGTTTTGGGAACAGTACATGCATCTTAAACTTGTTGACAAGACTTGAGTAGTGTATACTATTAGCATATGAAGGTGGGGATGTCTGTTATTTATTACCAGGAGACTGAATTTGATTCCCTTTCTGTTTATTATGCCCCTATGCTACTATTAATGGAAATGTTTTTTTTTTTTTATTTGAGGAAGTTGGATGTCTGCAAAGATATGTTTATGTTAAAGCACACATGCAAACACTTGTAAACTGAAGGGATAAATTATGGAAAACAGATTGACAAAAACATTTGTAGCAGTTTGTATTAATGACTACATTGAACAATATATAAGATTACTAGCAGTAGAGCCCGGCGTTGCTCGGGGATGTAACAGTAAGAGATAGATCAAGTATCGACCATCATAAAGACTGAAAAATAAAATTGACAAAGATTATTGTTTAAGGTTGATGGACACGCATGTCTTAATTTTTCTTTTTTTTTTTTTTTTTTTTTTTTAACGAATTGGTCAAACTCAAACAAAAACATTGTTTTCAATCGTTATGAGTCTGTCGATTGAATAGAATTTTATTATAAACAATTGTCTTGTAAATGGAATTTTTAAAGCATTCTGAATGTAAAAATAAAGAAAAAAAGTGTGCAAGACAATAAGGAACACTACCTGCCAAAAAAGTGAAGTTTTGTTGAAATCTGTTGAAAAATGTAGGAAATCCGATCCCATATATAAACAAACACACACACACACACACACACACACACACAACCTGGGTTTTATAATAAGTATAACTCAATATGAGTTGTTCCCCTTTCATTTAGCGATGCTTTAATCGTGTTTTCAAATTAATTTTGTGCAAAAACAATTGTTTTTCCAATTTTTGGTGCTGTCAGAACCACCGCAAGGTAATTTTACGTAGTCCTGCGAAGTTTTGTTGAAATCGGTTGAAAAATGTAGGAAATCTGATCCAATATATAAACGAACAGACACACACACAACCTGGGTTTTATAATAAGTATGATGTATTATATAATATATTTTTTAGGGAAAACAACATATAAATTTTCTATATATCAAGAAAAATTGTAGGGGAAAAAATCCATGACAAAGTTGTATTATGCATTTAATCCTTTAAGACTTCATCAGGCTAAAGTGATGTTTACATTGATGTAGCTACACATGTGTATAAAAGAAAGGGAACATTGAGAATTTAAAATTTAACTCTAATTAAAACAGAAAACAATTTACTAAGGTGAAAATGTTTAGAAAGTGTTTCAATTGTTAGATCATCTACAGTAAAATTATGTCCAGATTAGCAGATCTATTCTCACAAAAGTGATGGGAATATAAACAAAAAGAAAAATAAACTAAATGAAATCTGCGAGACTATATATGCAAAATATATATTTACAGAAAAAAAATTCTCAGTGTCTCCTCTCCTCTTGTGTAATCACATCAAAATAAACATCACTTTAATATGATAAAATCCTAATGGATAAAACATGTCACATGATAACTTTTTCCATTTTGTCATATATTTTCATATTAATAATTATAATAATATGACTGTATCCATGCATTCAGAAATGGCAGCAATTGTTAGAAAGATTTAGTAGTGAGATGCAATGAAACAAAACTATTGAAACAATGTATTGAGATTCAATAAAGCAGAGGTAAAGAATTAAAAAAGTAAAGGTAGAGGCCAATCAATTTTTAATTAATTCATTCCCTTTATATATTTTAGATGATCAATGGATCTATGATTTATTGATTACTCCTGGTATTATATAAATTGTTTTTTTACCCAGTATCTTTTCATGTTAAAAATTTTATATGTTTAACATAAGTGAAATGGAAATATCCCTTGGAAGAAAAAAGATGAGCAACAGAATGACAAAAAATGGCAATGACAAAGTCTATTTCAAGACCAAGTTGAAGCAAGATGCTCTCTTAATAGAAAAAGGTATCTGAGTGCCTCACAGGAATAGCTTGAACAAATTAAACTGCAATCTATGAAGCATAGGAGTAAAGGAACTGATTAATTGCTCCTTTTGCTCGCTAAATAATTTTGTCTAAATGTAGATAAATACTTAATTTGTATAGTTTATTCATACTACTAAGGGAAGTAATCACTCATAAATTTACTAATTTAATTTGATTTACCTCCCTTCACATTACAGATGGGACAGGAAACATATAAATAAATACGCATTGATAATTATCATATGGTTTGATTGATGATGATTAATAGATTAACATTATTAATCAAAATAATTGAAGAAACTCTTCCTGTATTTTGCAACACTTCCAGAAAAGAAAAAGAAAAAACATAGTGTTTAACAATGCTTAACAATAGTTTGACACTAAGTCTGTCCTCTTCAATCTATATATAACAATAAGAATGTATACAAGTATAAAAACAAGCCTTTGTATAAACGTTGCTTCACTTTAACAATATAGTTGTTCTCATAATTATTAATAATTTTGATAAAATTAATAGATTAATATTACTAATAAATATTATATATTATATATTATATAATAATATATATTATTATGTTAATATCCTATTTTGAGAAAACCGTTTTTTTCTGTTTAAGATATAAATATATATTAGCTGTGAGGCATAAATCTGATTAAACTGATGACTGAACAAATCTAAAGATATTTTAACATATGTCTGCATTTCTGAAATGAGCTATTTGTAACAATTTACAATATTTAGACTGTTGTCCTCATCTTTATTGTCATATTTGTGGCGTTTCAGCCATTGTATGCTCAGGCCTTCTTCAGGTGATACTTGGTTAGTGTATAAGAGCGTTGGTTGAAGTAATCCAGTGACTTGACCCAAAGAGTTGTAAGTTCAATACCTGGCCACAGCAGAGTTGAACAAAACTTGGGGAGTTGAGTTACTAAAGGGAAATAACTGAAACTGAGATATCCAGAAAAGGCATGGCATGTGGAACTAGAACAATATACTCCGGTGGATGAAATAAAAGGTTTGGTTTGAAATTCCAATGTATATCACCTGAAGAAGGCCAGAGTGTACAATGGACGAAACATTGTTAGTTCACTTGTATAAAGTGTCAGATTGTGATACACTCTGATTGATTTGTTTTTACAGATTATCAACCTTTTACAGGTTATTTAAAGCCAAAAAATATTTTTTAGCTTGTAAGAATGTTTTTTAGTGATTATAGTGATTTACTGATACAATTCCTACTAATTAACCCATAGCTAAGAGGGAGAAGAGGTGATTCATGCCTTTCCCTAGAGCATTTAAACGGAAGTGAATATAAGGATCCTGATTAGAATTAGAACTCTGCTGTTATCAATTACACCACCCACACATCCAAATTTACAACACCTGGTATTTACAGTACCTAGATGGTCACCCATCTAGGTACTGACCAGGCTTGACATTGCTTAACAGGATATAACCATAAGCTGAATATATGCTGTGTGTCCATGTTAGCCATACTAGTGGAAATATAAAATTCTTTGTATTTGGTATTTTTCATGTGGATAACGACTCAGTATTTTATGTTTGCTAATATTTAGTAGTCAAAGTACCAATTTTAACTGTAATCTGCAAATCCCTTTTGAAGTGCTCGTCATAAAAAACATAGTGAACTATTTTAATAGTGCATTTCAAATGGCTTGCTTGCTTCTTCATTACATAATTTAGCTGTGAGAAAAATGAATCATTCTGCGGTTAGTATAGGAGAAAGCTTTTTGCTGCATTATATGTCTTAAATTTTCTCATGTCATTCACTGACTGAATTTGATGCAATTGGATATTCTTTATTAAGCACCAACTGGAAAGAGAGAAAAAAATTAAAGCCTGTTTACCAGTCAGTCATATGTCAATTAAAAAAAATTGATGTTATAAAGTTGTTCTATTAAATAAGTTAATAAATTCTGATCAAGCAAAAATATTTCTTTTGTTTTTATTGGTTAATATGAAACAGTTGGAGAATATTCATAATAAATGAGGGATTAAAAGAATGAAGCCAATTGAAACATTACCCTGCTAGCCTCGGATTGTTTTTTACTGCAGTGACTTTTTGATTCTGATTAGATGTCTCATATTTGTAGCTTTGTGATATATGAAGTTTAGTAACTATTGATGAAGGAAGGTAGGATTATGATGGAAAAGTTACTACTCTCTTTCTTCATGTCAATTATTATTGTTAATTTTCAACAAAAACTTTCAGCAACAGATTTCATTGTATAAAGTGGAATGAGATTTGTAGAATTTTGTGTTGCAGGAAACATTTTGGAAGTGTCTTTTTATAAACAGAAAGTTGATTGATTTTGCACTGTCTGCTGGTCTTAATAAAATATGTCAGCACAACTCTGTCAAATTTTGAGAAGGTATATGAGTTTGTAACTTATAAATGGAGTAAAAAGCTCTAACTTCCCCAGTAAGTCATTATTAACATTTGTAAGAGACTTTTTTTTTTTGTTCTGTCACAATT